ATCATAGTTTTTATCCAAAAATATTGTTAACATGCTTTAAAAGGGAGGCAAATATTTAATCTCATTTTTGCATATTATTTGTTTTGCTTATTTGAAAATACAATGGGCAAATTAATCTTTTTACTCTAGCATAAATAAAACTTTGGAGAAAAACAATAATTAGGAACAAATTATGTTAATTTGAGAATAATAATGCGATGAAAAAGTTTGGGACATGAATGTGATAATCTGTAGAGGTTATGAACCTCTCATTTAACTAAAATGTCGTCTAATTATTAAAAATTGTAGTATGAATGTATGTAGCCTTATTAATATGTACAAGCAAGTGAAATGACATTATTAGAACTCTCAACTGGGCCAGGTTATTCTAAGCCCACCAACTTGATATGATCTGTCATAAAACGCAAACACCATGTTTAGCACAATATTATATTCAAGATATATATAGTTTTTGATAAAATAAAGAACGAAAGACACTCACGTGTCGTGTAGTTATATTCCCTTTGAAGTACTAAATATGAATTCCAAGTTAAACACTAATTTGTTAAACTATTAGATAATATTGAGCAAAACTGAAATATACAAATGAGTTCGCATCTATTGCTCAACTATGGTTGATTCATTGGTTGCCAATTGTGCTACCAACCCGTCCAATGATAGATGTAGACATTTTAAATTAGAGGGCATATTATTTTTCCTGGTTGGAGATGAAGAATATGGTCTGACTTAATTCGGAGGCTATGATGAGTTTAAATTAGAAATAAAATTATTTGAGTATGAAGCAAAATAATTTACACAATTTAATTGGATAACATAAGACTACCAAAACACTGCTTATATTAATTTACTCAAGCAAGCACCTTGGCCTACCACAAAAATACATTCACGCCTATCTTATATTTTCTCCACTCATTCTCTCTCACACACCTCCTTGCTTCTCGGGAATTATGCCATGCGTATAGGGCCTTTTCGCCATTCCCCTGGACACGTAAGGCCCGTACTTATGGCCTTTTTGGCTTCTCTCTCTCTCTCTTCTTCTTTTTTTTTTTTGGCTTCTCTTTGTGTCTTCTCTTTGACACACTCTTTCTGTAAGTGTTATACACAAATTCAATCAACCTTTAATATAAATATTTTTAATATATAATTAATACAATTTAATTACAGATCTATTGTATAATTAATAGACAATTAAATTAAGAGCCTGTCAGGCTGTGTTTTTTCACCAAATTTTCTGCCAAAATGGAGCCGTTGGTCCAAGTTGAGGGTCCCATCTCACACACAGACAGTAAAAAATTGTGGGCTACAATGGTAGGAAAATTACTGTCAACAGTCACTTTTTTGCTTTAAATTTCTCCCAGACAGGCCCTAAATAACAGAGTTCGTAAATTTAAATTTTCATAATTTGTTAATCATAGTGAGTTATAATTGTAAGATACAAATTACATATGATTGAATCTTAAATCGTCTGTGGTCGTAAGTAATAACGAAATATGGATATCTTTATTACGGATAGACCATCACGTGTGACATTTCTTACTTGTGAAGTAAGTAGTTGATCTCACAAGTTAAAGTGTAGTGACACTTAAATGAACAAGTATATGTTTTGTTATAGAACAAAATATTGGAGACCCACTGAAAGATTCCATATGGATAACTATTTGAATGTCAGTGGTTAATCTCTAACTTTCGGTAGTGGGATTGGTTATTTGACTTGATGTCGTCATAGTACCTTATATGAGGACAGTCATGCTTTGACGGTGTTGAATATTGCTCTGCCAAGGGCCGCTAATACAATATCGTTCAGATATGTCAAGAATCGTATGAAAGTTGTGAATGACTAATAAATGATTCGTCACTCTTAGATAATAAGAGATTATGATCTGTATTATATTTAATTAAATCGATAAGGAAATCCTTGACCAATGTATACTCATAAGTCAAAAAGAAATTTTTCGACTTATATTAACTTAATAGTGAAGTGAGAGATATGATCAATAATCGAGATTGACACACCTCCATATCTCGTAATTGATCGGATCATATTGATGAAAGGATTAAAGTTTTACGGTAAACGAATGAGTTTGATTTTGTCATACCGCGTGACATTTTTCGTCACATGTATTATCCTAACACATTGCTAGATGTCAATTTGGGACGCGCGAGTGTGAATTGGTGATAAATTAGAAGGTGTTGATTAGATCAAAATAATATTTCACGTCGTTAGGTATCGTGATCGAGAACCTGACGGGTCGCACACAAACTAGAATTGGAAGATTACAATTTGTCAATTAACTAATTTAACAATTATTGAATAAATTAATTAATTGGGTTGATTATTTGTAAGCCCTAATTAATTAACTGGATTAATTAATTCACAGACTGAATTTAATTAAATGGGTTAATTAAATATTGGACCAGGTCAGACTAAACCCGTTCGTGCTTATATAAATATGATTAGGGTTTTCAATATCTGTAGCGAATTCATTATTCTTGCTAGCATAAGAAGAAAACTCGGATCATGCAATTTTGTTCTCTGTGTGGATTATCGTTGGAGGTTGGACAATTGGATGGCTGTGGGTGACCACAAACAAATCTTCACACACCAAAGACCAACACCACAATCCACTCCCACTCACCCTCTAATGCCCCACTACTATCACCTTCAACTCAAGTCTACATTCACTTCAAATCCATAACAACAATCATCATCATCACCATTACTTCCACCAGCACTTTCAACAAACACCAACTGCTAACACCATCGACATCATCGTACCAGCACCTTCTTTTGATTATTCGAATGCACCAACTAGTTAGGAAATCACATTGACAGCCTCTACTCTCCCGTCGTCGCCCACAACACCACTACTACCAACACCCTCACCATCACCACCTAACTAACACCACCACTAAAATCTCAACGACCAAGTCCTAAACCAATTCCACCTTCACCACCAATTTTCCCCTACCACCACAAATGTACTCACCTTTCCCACCGTTCTACTCACCTCCTCCGCCCTAATCACGCACACCTGAGTTACCACCACCAAAAACGGCTCGAGTCAAGCCGATGAATCGGACCACCAGAAGTTGCAACCACGTTGGAACCTCCTCTAAAATCATCGATAACGCTCTTTTTCTGACAACGGTGAACCAATCGATCAAGAATGTGATTTAGCTTGAGTTGATTAGTCAGAATCATGCGATTTTCAGCAAGAGCGCCCTTTAGCGGTGGTGGCTAGTACTGCATCGCTAGCTTCATGGAAAGCTTGACGACGAAACATAGAGAAGGGTGGGTTGAGTGGAGAGAATGA